TGCACTACAACATTCAGCACAGATCATATGTTTGTACGTTTATATTTCCAACTTTTGAATTGCTAATGCATAGTTTGCAGTTAATGGCAACAAAAACTATACTAGTCTCCATGCAAACAGCATGTACCATACCTAGAATGTATTCTCTGCAGATATGAAGTAGATGCTGTGCCTCTGTGACCTCTTGGCGAGTCTCTACAACCAGAAGCGGAATGCTCAGGACCAGTACATGAAACTTCTCGATAGCCTCGCTGAATTTTCCACCCGTCGTCAACTGGTAACAAACCTGTGGCAACAAGAAACTATACAATACGTGTTAACTCAGTACTTACCGGAATGTGTCTAAAAATTAATCAGGTAGTTGGTGTTTTACAGTTGGAACAAAATTCTATTTGACTGATAAATATTAAAATGTGTTGTAATACCAAGCCAACAACAGTTACTGCTACTATAAAACACTACTATTAATGATAATGTAATGATCTGACAACACAGTACGTCAAATGTTAATGGTAAAGAAGAAGATGTCCCAGTGCCCAAGCACCATACAATAAAAGCAGATTCATGTAATTTGTTATAGAAGTTAGTCCTAGATAAATGTTACATGGTTAGCTTTACCTCCAGGGTACTCGTCTTCAGACATCAGGCACCCTAATGAAGTATGGGGAAAAAAAACTACAGGGAAAACAGGTGTTATGCTTAATAAAGACAGGCCAAAGAAAAGGACAGGAACACAGGGAGGAGAAAAAGACTGAAATGTAAGATTAGAGGTTTTCACATTGGTGAGTATGAAGATTTCTGTCCTCTGGGTTGATGCGCTGTGTAAACTGGTAGATGTTTACCCTGATGATGGAGGCAGTATGACCTCTGAAACGTTGGTTAACATTGACCAGACTACACAGCACAACAACCCAGAAGACAAAAATCTTAAGACTGAAATGAGTGATGCATATATTCTGAGATGGGTTAAAATGTCATTATGATATGTACCTGCAACTTTTGAATCAGGTCTGCCAGCTTGATACCAATGGCTGGTTTTCCACCTTTAGGACCTGCGTCCTTCCAGTTACGATGTGGGTAGCCATACAATGGTGACAGGGATGGGAGAGCTGTGTAAGAAGTATGTGAACTAGAAAATATACTGAGGAAAAGTGTATGGTATGGCCTGAAATCCACCACGCCAACCTAAAAAAAAGGGGGGTTACAATATTATTTATTTAATAATAAGTGCCCAACGTTATATCATCACTAATTTAACAGCAGCTTACATTATATGTTTCTTTTACATCATTAAAGCTATGTTCAAATGTCCACAGAATAGAGCACATGTCATGAAGCTCCCATGTCACTTGCCATTATCAAGAATTGTTATTATGAAGGTGAAAAGATGAGAGTTGCAGAGTTCTGACTACCCACCACATAAGTAACTAAGAAAATAAATAAGTAGTCCTATGTTCTAGAGAACTAGCCTAAGTCTATGGAGCAAAGTCTTCCTGACAAGCTCGTCGTCACTCAGTCCTGAAATGGAATGCAAAGTTTCTTTGCCATAATGACAAAGGCCTGCTTTTAGAGAATACATTCCTTATTCTTCATATATCTACCACTGAAACTTCAGCAAGTAAATGTTAATAAAACATTTTATATGTGGTGATAAGATCAACGGCTCACCATGCTCTAGAACAGTTTATGAGAATGGAAAGGTATACAGGCATGTTCTTGCAAATTCTGAATAAAAGTTTGTAAGTTATATTAGACAACTTCTGTTTCCACCTTTTTAAGTCACGTGGTCTTAATATCTTCTTTAAATACCGTAAATCAATATCAACATATCGCAACATGCATTAGCTCTGTGGTGCTCCCTGGGCTAGTAGGCAATGGGGTCACAGGATTCTGGTCAAGTTAACAGCTTCTATTCATGCAACTGTCATATTAATATTTCCAATTATACAAAGAATTACTACATCAAGGTTTTGTATTTTCTGAAAATTTATAACCATACATCACTAGATTGCCCTATTGCAAGTGACACTAGTGTCAGTCCCACCTCACAAATTTGTCTACCGTGTTGGTATTACTGACTGTAGGAAATTTAAAAGTATGGTTTTAGGGAAGTCCCCAATGGCATTACGGCCATACCAAATTTCATCCATATCTATCCAGTGGTTCTGAAGTTGATTCACGTGGACAGATAAACATGACTAATCCCTATACATGTTCATTTTATGCATATCTTTCGAAGAAAGCATAATCAGCTTCAGTTGTAGCATTCCAAGTGTAATCTGGAGTACCTATTTTAGATATGATTAAACAGACTCATGCTTTGCTTCTTATGTATCTCAGTTTAAAAACCAGAATGGGTTACACCTTTCCTATATGTAGCTTAAATGCACAGGATGAATAACGTTCAACTTTCAGATGTATTCACTGTGAAGCTGGTGTACAGAAAGGCACGCTACTAAAATTATTACCTGTTCATGTAGCAATCTGAATGCAGACTCAAATGACCCGGCTAGGATATGATCAACAGGAAGCTGTGAATTGTTCACCCACACCTGCAGTTGTGACAGTCCCTTTGTTGGTGGCACGAAGTAACCATCATCTGCTCCTGCTACAGCTGTGCTCTCCAGCTCAGGAGGCAACACCAGATCCTCATCACCCACATCCCAGCCACTGCCTGCAGCAAAATGTTTTAACTAACTAACTAACTAACTAACTAGATGGCTTACCAACCCAAAGGTTCATCACCGAATTAACCAAAGCTCTCCACCGGACCCTGTCCTGGGCCAACAAAATCCAGTCTCCTTCAACTCCTATCTCCACACCTGCAATCTGTGTTCCTCCCTCTGAGTGAGAGACCATGTTTCGCACCCATACAAAACAACAGGCAAGATTATTGTTTTGTATACTTTAATTTTCAGGTTCTTAGAAATCAGACGGGAAGACAAAATATTTTGGACTGAGAAGTAGCAAGCATTTCCGGAATTTAGTCTCCTCCTAACTTCCTCACAAGTATCATTTTGATTTGTTATTGTTGTTCCCAAATATTTGAACTTTGTAACCCTTTCAAAGGATTTATTAGCTACCCTAAGATAATTTTGCCCGCCTGTCTTCTGATGACGAGATACTAACATGTACTTAGTTTTTTCTGAATTTACTTCCAGCCCCACTTGTCTACCAGCCTCTAGTAAAACTTCTGCGTTCCTCTTTATTGTATTTATATCGTCCCCCAATAAATTAACATCATCAGCATATGCCAATAGCTGATGTGTCCCGTTCAATTGCAAACCCTCCTGCCTACCTTGGACCTTCCTGATGGCGTATTCTAGCGCAAAGTTAAAGAGCAAGGGAGACAAAGCATCTCCTTGTTTTAGACCGTTCTTGATGAGGAATGTCTCAGATACATATTTACCTACTCGAATTTTGCTACAGGTTTCATTTAAGCACATTTTTATTAGACCCACTAGCTTCTTTGGTATACCAAATTCAATAAGAATATTATATAGCACTTCTCTCTTCACAGAGTCATAGGCTTTTTTGAAATCTATAAATAACTGATGTACAGTCCCACCGGACTCCCATTTTTTCTCTAGTATCTGACGAATGCAAAAGATCTGATCAATCGTTGATCTGTTTCGTCTGAACCCACACTGATGATCCCCAATAGTTTCATTCGCATATGGGGTTAATCTTGCCAAAAGAATGTTGGATAGAATTTTGTATGAGGTTGATAGCAGCGAAACTCCTAGGTAATTACCACAGTCAGTCTTGTCCCCCTTCTTATGAATAGGAATAATTATGGATTCCTTCCATTGTTGTGGCATCTCTTCCTTATCCCAAATTAACTGAATAAGCTTATGGATCCTCATATGTAACCCTTTGCCACCTGCTTTAATTAATTCTGCTGGAATCTGATCAATACCTGGAGATTTATAACTTTTCAACTTCCCAATGGCTAGTTCCACTTCATCTAAGCTAGGTTCTGGCACCAACAGTTCAGCTGTATGTATTTTAATCTGTCTAATATCACCAGTCTCATGAACATTTAAGAGCTCACTAAAGAAATTTTTCCACCTATTCACAATTTTTATTGGATCTGCAAGCAAATTGCCACTATCATCCTTTACCAAATTGGTCTGGGGTTGATATCCTTTCTTAAAGTTATTAATGCTTCTGTACAGGTCTCTGATATTTTTTTCCTTATTATTTATCTCAAGTTCAGCAATTTTGCCCTTCAGATATTCCCTTTTCTTATTCCTAAAGGTTCTACTAGCCTCACATCTCACATTGCATAGATTATCCGCATTTGTTTTGTTTGGGTCCTGCAACCATTGAAATTATGTTCGCTTCCTTTGATCTATTAATTTGGAACATTCTTCATCAAACTACGGTTTATTTGCAGCAAAATGTTTTACATATAATAAAATAACATAAACTCATAATGGTATAACTGCTCCATCTGGTGTAAAAGAAATTCAGTACCAATAGTCAGAATTAGCCAAATTATAGTTTCCAAGTTTTATAATAATTTGTTTAACACATTGACAGATTTGAATAAATACTGCAGCTCAGCAACACACTAACCAATCAAAATAATTGTTCCTTCTTTTACATTTTCTAGTCTCCTAACTTCAAAATGTGTGTAAGATATATGTAAATGTAGTATATTAGTAACTTTTACCTTCTGGATCACCAGATGCACCAAGTTCACGTTCCTCATCTGCACCAAGACCGTCTTCATCTAGCCCCAGTTCGGCGTCAACTCCCCAGCCTTCTGTAGTGGTGTCCTCAGCGGAATCTGGAGCCAGTACACTGCTCACCACACCGCTCTTTCCTCGTGTCATGGCTGCACCCTCAAAGAATCCCTGAGAGTTTCAAAATCACTGTTTAATATGACATGTGTTACAACACACCCGCCCGCTCGGCTAATTTATAGTTGACACATTCCAACAGGCACAAAGTCAATGTTGCAAAGTCCTTCTTAAGCGGCCCATCTATGTACGAGTCTGACTTGCAAGTCTGGCTCGGCGAGCTTGACTCGTGAGCCGGGCTCGGATATATTTCACCACACATGCATAGCAGACTCGGCTCATGACACCCCATCCACAAACGAGTTTGGCTCAATGGAACCCAAGCCGAGCCGGACTCGCAAGCCAGACTCGTACGTGGATGGGCCGCTTTACAAAGCTAACAGTACACTCAGCTAGTCAAGAATTTCCCTGCCTTTGTGGAAACCAAACGATCATTACTGTGTTCACAAGAGCCTGCTGTATGAAAACTATATACCTTAGATACTGTGAGAAGAGGCCAGTTTGTCTCTGCCTGCATTACTGGTACAGGGGGTTTTAGAAGCTTTGCATTTGGCCGTATTGGTGGAACATTATTTTCGTTTATGGGAGACTGTGATTCCACGAGTCCGTGCACCTCTGCGGTCAAGTAACTGAGCGAGTGCTGATCACAGTTCTGAAACAAAAATAAAAAGCAATTTCGGATTCATTAGTATTGTCATCTGATTTTTTTTTCGTATCCAGTACACACCATTCAGCATGGTGTGCATTGCTGGTTAGCAGGATTCACGACCCATCAGTACATGAGTTCGACTGGGACAGCGACATTTAACGCTCCTGCTGTGACCCCCTTTTTGCAAGATGATGATGAAAGTGGAGTAATTGTTGGGATGCCACAGAGAAACTCGGGAAACCCTGGAGGAAAACTCCGTGATGCCTGGACCACAGCCTTGCCCAACACAAGTTGTAAATCTGAGCACCGCCGGGAATCGAACCCGGGACCCCAGTATTACAAGCCCAGCATTCTAACCGCTAGACCACCGTGGCAGTTTTGTCATCTGATATAAATGTGGAACAACCACAAATATCATATGTGCACACACACACACACATACTCATTTTCATATATTTTAACACCTGCTGCCCGATGTTATTCGGAAAATATTCCAATATTATCAATATTCTATGTAATATTACTCTGTTCATAGTAGTCTTCTGGGCTGTAACATCATGTGGGTATTTGGAGGAACATACTGGCTCCATATTTAGCCCTGAACATGGAGTCAGTATACTTCTCCAAAACACTGGCATCTACTGATGAGTCTCCACAGCACTAAAACCCATAAGAATATCATGACAACACTGTTAAAATAAACCACAAAACTGTAAATAAATGAAACAAATATATAATGAAAATGAAAGGATCCAACTAGTACCCAAGTGTCAAGAGAACTTTCTTGACATTTCTACATTATACAGAAATCATAGCAGGCAATCAGAACTTATTTTTCACCCAATGGAAACATGAACCAATGATATGCTATTATCGAAATAAAAACAACAATTTATGTGTGACATATTGTCATCTAAAGATTCAATTTAATGTTATTTTCACTACGACCATTAATACTCAGGTCTTTTAGTGGTTTTCAAATTAAAATGTTATGTTTCCCATTTTCCCAGTGTTTGCTTATTTTTCTTTACTAACCCCAAGAAAAGTGTGAAGGCTCCAACTGATGAAGCTCCTCATGTAATGTCTTGCAAGTACTGCATAGCCATGGGCCACAAATTAATTTTCCAAGTTATATTCTGACTCGGTGCAATCATCAAACTGATCAACTCACCTTGAGAATTTTTACTCTCTCATGGACATTACCCAGGAACAAGGCTCCCTGATACTGGCCAGATATATCCTTTCTTATTTCTGCGATCTTCATCATCTTTCGCAGCTTATCAAGATTGCCCGTAATGAGGTACAAGAATGAGAGTTTGTCAAAGTTCTTAGTTCGCTGGTAGCACATTTCTACAACCTATGGAAAAGGAATGCAGAATTTACAAAATGTGGCAAAAAATATGTAAGACATTAAGAGTTAAACATGAACAAGGTGAAATTAAAAATTCTATATACATTAAACTAGTCCCAATGCTAAATCACTCTCAACATTACATACAAGTAGTTCCAGCTTGACAACAGAAAGGATTATACCCTGGCTCAATGAACATCCAGAATCCTGCAAGCCTGTCATTCCAGCCAAAATGTTAAAACTGATTTACCTCTCAATACTTCTGAATTAATGTGTTTATTATGGCTGGTGATACCTATTCCGAGCTTTAAGTAAATACTGTTGTCTCACATACAATCTCCCTCAACATCACAAAAGTTGTTAAAATAAATCACATTACAGTTTATTGAGTAAATGATTAATGAAGAGGGAAAATGAAACTTACTTGATGATTTCCTTGCATGAGGGCAGCCTGTCCTAGCCTTTCCCAACATGCTTTGTCATCAAGGGCTCTTGCAGCTTCCAGAGCAACTTCAATGTTTCCACACTCAAGAGCAAGACTGAATCGGGTCTTTTCTTCTTTCACGAAATGTAAAGCCACTTCTGGATATCCCTTCTGCTGCAGGTACGCAATGATGGACTGTCCCACCAGACGAGCATTGCGTACCATATGAAGCACCTGAAAATAATAAACATTAACAATTCTATAAAATCTTCTCAGGCAATCAGCCGCGTTACCTGTTTACCGCAGTAAACTGACATTTTGGGAACAAACTATGTCCCCATCTTCAGGGTTCTGATGATGTCGGTTTACTACGGTAACCAGCTAACGCGGTTGATTGCCCGAGAAGATTTTATTAATTGTACTCGCCGCGAAAGTCTCAAAGCCTATACAGTGAAACCTCTATCCATCGTTCCCGGAACTATCGTTTTCCCGGATGCATCGTCCGTTTTGTTCGGTCCCGAATACATCCCATATAAAATAATGTTACATTTTCCCGCTTCTATCGTTCCTCGAACTATCGTTTTATCGCATCGATCGTTCAAAAATCGTAGTCCCGGCCCACAATTTTCCCGCAATGATCGTTTCTGAGAATTTAAAATGCTGGGGTTTGAGATAAATTAATACCGAAAGACGCACAATGTTTTTGGAATA